TTCAGGGTCACCTGGTCTTGACAAGGCCACTACTCACAAGCAGATACCTTTATCCCCCAGGAGAATCTCAGTATCTTATCAACTGGTTCTTTGTTCAGTTCAAATTACTTCTGATTGTGAAACATGGCCTTGAGAGAATTTTCAAAGAGTCTCCCTTTGCCTTGGATGTCTCAATAAGTTTAGTCTGGCACTGACTGCCTGAGATAGAGCTAGCCCCAAAATCCTGGTGTCGGCCACAACCCAGTTTTCTCTGGATGACTCAGCAAACTCAGGCCCAGTTACTGTCAGTCACCGAGGTGAACCACTAGTGAACTTCCCAAGCTCACATGGATCTTGGTGATTTTGTCTTATTTCCCCATTTCGTCTAGCACAGTGGCAGGCACACAGCGGCAGGCACACAGCCCATGTCCCCCAGTAGAGGCACTGGTTCACAGTTCCCTTTAGATTCTCTACTCCTGTCCTTTGGAGGTGAAAAGCTATGCAGCGTGGAAGAGTTGGGTATTAGTGAACAGAACATCATCCGCTGACTTCCAACAGCCCTTAAACGTAAGGACTCCTGCCCTAATGCTGCAGCTCAGGAGTTGACCATCTTGTAGGTACAGCTCACGGCCCGTCTAATAACATGGAGTCATTCCCTGACGATATTTTACAAAGTATTGAATTTGTATTTCAGATTTCCTCAAACTTGAATGCATTAGTAAAAATAACCTGAATTATCTGTCAAAAGGGTGCTATCAACCGAAAAATATTATTAGTACTTTATTCACTGACCCTATAAATCTTCTATTTGACCTTGTTTTATCTCTAGGTATACATACTTTTAAAGGCCAGTACTTTCATAGCCGACAGTATAAATATCCAGACATGTTTAAGGATAAGAGAGTCCTTGTGGTTGGAATGGGAAATTCCGGCACAGACATTGCTGTGGAGGCCAGCCACCTGGCAAAGAAGGTACTGCTCTTGATGTGTCTTAGTGAAGAGCTTTGTCATAGGAGGCGTGTCTCAGGCTGCGTTTGACACCGTGACAGATGTTCAGGGAGCACAAAAGCCTAACACACAATAGACTTTTATTCAGTGTTCATAGTTTGTATTGAGTGTTCATGAATTTTACTGTGAAATCCAGTTGTCTTCTCTCCTCCAAAACCAGCTTCTCTGACCTGTTACACGTGTCATTTCCCAGTCAACCAGCAAGAGCTCTGGGACACACCTCTTCTCCATCCAGTCCCGAAGTCAGAAGATCCCGGCAACTGTTTCTGGCTAAGGTCTCCCACCTGCCCCATCTTTCCTTACTCGTTGCCACTCCCCCATGGGGGCCCATGCCCCTCCCCCAGTGGGCCCACTGCAGTGGAAATGTCACAGTTAGGAGATGGTGACTGCAGAAATTGTAACTGCTGATTGGGAAACTCTGCCAAGCACTGCACTAAACGCCTTCCACTGCGTGGCCACCTCATCACCAAAACAAGCCACTGCAGTGGGGCCACTGGTCCCCCTGCATGCATGAGAGGAGGCCAAGGGCTTGATGACCGATTCGCTGGCTGACAGATGGATTGATTGATTTGAAGGCGCTTAGGGTGAATTATCTGAAGAAAGGAAAAGGACCATCCCC